TCCTATCTCTACTAGATGTAGGTGAACAAGTAATCCCACCCACTCTTTATAAGGCTTTATAGGATCCTTTCTTATCGAAATGTATACACAACTCATATAGACCGCGTCAAGTGTTTTTATTTGCGATCGATACGTTGGGTGTCAGCACCGAATTCCCTCTCAATACTACTATTCCTTCAGTTTGCTCTTATTCCTTCAGAAATTTACTCCGGTACTGGCAACCCACCACTGTCAACTTTACCAGACTTCTCATTCCAATTATAAAAGAGTAAAAAAGGGAAGTCATAAAGTCATAAAGGAATTCGGTTGCTGGAGGGAGGGGGTCGCATTTGCCTCTGTGCAAAACGCTTTTCGCCGTTTAGCCACTGACTTTTCTCGGTTATTCCCGTTTCATAGGTTCTGTTCAGGATAAAGTTCTCCGGAGGATACTACGTTAAAAAGGCATGATAGCCAGGATGGGGAAGGGGGTCGTATGCTACAAAAATGTTCAACAAGACCAGTGCTGGGTGCCACTTCAAAAAGCCTGCTTTCAGAGGTTTACCAGCAAACAAATGAAAATTTTGGCGCTCTTTTTCGCGAAACATGGCGTTGGAATTGTTGAATTTTTCATTTCTTTTGTCCTTCTTTTCTTCTTTCTTTTTTTAAAATAAGATTTTCTTGTAAGTTACACATATAAACTTGGAAACAGTCCAAAATAATGGGTGTAGTTCAGAATATCAGAGACGCGTCGAGTATGGTAAAAAGACGGTGTAAATAGTATGTCGTGCGCGGCATTCGCACCATGACCCAATCGCTTCAACGCGACAAAACTGTGGCAAGTGAAATTACTGCCTTGTTCGCTGCGGATGAAAAGGTGTGTAACGGAGAATGGTTTTGGCGCTTCGTCAGACCTATTTCCCCTAGCTATTAAAACAAGCAAGCGAAAAACCGTATCATATAGTTTGTATCAGTCCTTTTCCACCAACTGTTGCCGCTCAGCCGCTTCAAAAACTGATGACGGCGCCGTGCCAAATCCGTCCCGCCTGACACGCCTCTTTACTAGCAGCGAACAAGACTACAATCATCTAGAGAATACAGTGCTAGTTTGCATGCGATGTCGCGCCTCGGATGCTCTGAACTACACCCCAAAATCATACTTGTCAACCAGCAAAAGATAACACAACTGGCCTTGCATTCTCGCCACATGTTGCACATGACAACAGCATTGAACGTTGTGTGGCGACATTTGATGGCGAAAGCATCGAAAGTGGAGAAGTAACCGCAGGAGTTGTATTGACCAGTTGAGAGTTTGGCGAAAACACCGGCGGATGTTCTTCTTCTGTTCGAACTGATGTTTCCGGAAGAACAATCCCTTGTGATGCTGAACTCCGAGGTGTTGTCGGAATTTTCGCACGATTATCCCACAAGTTGAACGACTCCAGATGGCCAGACAGTTCACCCAAACCAAGGCTCTAAATTGATGATAAAAAATAATTAGTAGAAACACATAACAAAGAAGACAAAAATAAGAAAAACGTACATGTAAACTGTCGGTCAGCCCATTTTGGTACGATGTAATGGATTGACTGTGCAGTGACAACGACGGATGGTCAAGCAGTTCTAAACAGAAACAATCATACTAAAAAATTTAATGGGACGTTTTTGAACAACACTTTTCCTCGAAGGCGACTTCGTCCAGTTTTGACAGCGTCAACGATTCCTGCAGTTTATCACGAAGGGAGCTCCGGCAACTATAACCTTTTGGTGACAACAAAAGTACCCCCTACCCTCGGCAGGCTGGGAATAGCATAAAGACGACTTCTACAGTTCTACCTTGGTGCGATCACCAACAAACACCCGTAAAATCCCGTTAAGTGGAAGAAAGAGGAGCTAGGAACGAGCAAGTGTCAGTTTGACTCGCAGTTTACTGGGAGCATGGCGCAACGCACCGGTGAGGAAATTTTGAAAATAGAACCCCCTGCACACATTCACCAAATGAAGGGAAGACATTCAGACGGCAAGAAAAGTTTCCAGCTCAAACAGGACGCATTGTCCGGGAGTATATTCCTTGCTGGGCGATCCGCCGCGGGTATTATTCCCAACGGGGCTGGCCTGCTCGTCACCTGGAGTTAGGAGAGGGATCGGATTCGCCTCTGATAAAAAAGTTCGATTGCTGACTTTTCTGTTTTTTTTTTTCGTCTCACATACACTATATAACCCCACCCAGATCGGCAGCAAATCCTCGGTTTTTTCCGGAAGGACTGAAAACTGGAGTATCTTCGAGGGGGGAGGGCACCATAAGGACGATTTTTGAAAAGGTGGGGTCGTATCTGAGACCTTTCACAGCAGCAGGGCCTACTTGACGCTGTCAAACACATCCTTTGTCACAAAACTTGAAAAAGCGATTCTCAACCCCTCCCCAGTATAGAGTGCCTCAAATAATTGATGATATATGCTGCCTTAACTGCGAAAAAGAAAGTTCAAAACCGTCGAAACCCTACTGTGGCTGTCAGGATTTTTCATACAAAATGGTGCACATAACCGTTCCTGCACACGGCCACAAACCCCGAATAGAATTAGGCTCGTGCTTTCGAGGGATTAACGCGAAAAATCGCGCCAATGCCCAGAATGGCATCTGCCGAACCAGCTGAAAGGGTTTCCGAACAAGAAACTCACCATTTGAGTGATCGGTATGCGGTGGTGACAAGAACATGTAAGGTGGAAATGGATTGTTGCCTGCACTTGCATAGCAGACCAAACACTTGCGGCAATCCGTCAACGAGCAACAATGGCCACAGATTCTGAAATGGACAATTCGGTGATCACCACTGACCTGCCATCAGTTCTTTCTGGCAGTATTGGCAAGAACTGATCAAAGGAGAACCTTTGGAATACTAAGGTATTCTCTCTAAGAGATCTACTCGAGTTTGCAGAAGATAACGAACTTATGTGAGCAAGGAAATTGGCGATGTTTGCCCTTTGGATATCTGTTTCTGAGCAGAGCGAACAACGTTGTTGTTGAAGAGATGCAGATCGAACGGCAATGAGAACATGTCATATGTGACTTGGTAAGCTGCGGGAGATGAGAGAAGAGACTGTGGCGTTTCGAACAAACTACCCTGAAATCACGACGGACACTTAGTACGCACAGCAACAACCTTCACGTAAACGATTTAAATTGCGACACACACACAGTGACCATGAACCTCCATCCCATCATTTTGAGACGTCTCGTCCCGTGCCAATCCCTCACCCTGTTCGCTTTCAGGATATCTGTCTACCAGTCTTCCTCCCTTCCTTCTTTCCTTCTCTGTTTCCTCTTCCTTATTTTCTCCCCTTCAATTAATCGGCCGAAGGATGTGATAAAAAATATCTAAGGATCTTCACAGATAGGACGCCCGTACAGAAGCCCCGTAACCCATTCTACCCCTGCCTGCGAATCTTGGCTCTATCAGCTACGTTTGCTTTACTTTTACATTTTTTCTCAGTTTTCTCCGAACTTACAGCCCCGGCTTGACTTGACCTACTTGATCTGCTCAAAAGGGAAATCAGGGAGCAAGAAACTTTGATCTCACGAGCCCTCTCTAGAATAGGGTTGGAGTGAACGGCGAAGGTTAAGAGTACCCAGCGAAGCGGGCAGGGTGGGCGTAATTGGTCACGGCATGGAGGGGGTCGTAATGGGTCACTACATGGGAGGGGATCGAACTTGGTCGCTGGTGAAAGGGGCATCGTATCTGCCTTTAAGACTTTTAGGGAAATATTTTCGGTTGTTAACTTCTCTCGGATTTTCCTGCTCAATGTGCGGTATATCATCCCGAGTTATCTTCCTATGATTGTTACATTATGATCGACCAATAAATGATGATGATGATGTTTTTAACAACTCCCCCCCCCCGGACAGCACTCTATCCGAGGGAAATTGAAGTAACTTTGGGGAGAAAATTGGGGAGTAGTAGAAATAGGTACTTAGGAAAATCGTAGGCAGATGAGGAGTGGGGAAGAAATCCGCACCAGAGAAGAAAATTTCGAGGGGGGGTCGTATATTGCAAGAATTTCTTTCAATGGCGGGACATGCCCTGGATGAGGTGGTTCCCACAACACAACCAACAATATGACCCCATCCCCTTCGACAAGGGTAGGTCCTACACCTAGAACGTATAAAGTAACCTTCATTTTCAGCTGAAGATTCCCCACACCATTCTGACTGACCGAGTATTCCAACAACCAGGGCACATCCTGCCGTTGGAAAAAAATGTTGCAAATTATGACCTTCCCATCCTCCCCCCCCCCCCCCAATTTCTTTCTTTGCTACGACCCGCGCTTCCTCATCCCACTTACCATCTTCCTGACCTTCCCGAATATTCTCCAACTTTCCATCATTTTTCGGCAGAAAATTTCGTTTTTCCTCAAGAAATTACCGTCGAGCGAGGAGTGGGGAGGGGGCAGGCAGGAGTGAAACGGGAAAAATCTAAGAAAGTCAACAACCGAACCATTTCCTCAGAACAAATACCACCCTCTCTCCCTACCGACGAAGTACGACACCATCACTGGGGTTCCCCCATGCACGCCATTGCAAACAATCCTCAAGCCCCT